TCCAATCCTTATCACAGGTGGTCGCAAGAACCTGCACTTGAGGGTCATTGTGCATGACTTTGGGAAAGAAAAGATAGCCGATTCCTTTCCCCCCATGACTCAACCAGCGCCAGTGCAGACTTGGCCGTTCCCTCTATGTCAGCACTAGAGTTCGCCTCAATCAAGAGCGTTACGTCATCTGCATAAGCTATCATCTCCGCATTGGAGAGGAATGGCAGCTTCAACAATTTATCTAGCAGTAAATTCTATAGGATCGGTCCTAAGACCGATCGTCGCGGACAGCGCATGATCGAGTGTTTACATTCCACGCATTCGCTTACAAAGATGCCCACCGGTCTGTTGGTGAAGTAATCTACCAACTTTCGATAGATGTTGGGTGAGATCCCGCCCTGTTTAGCCTTCAGAAGTATCATTGGCAACCTGCATTGTCGAATGCCCCCGATATGGCTAAAAAGACGGCCTGTACATACTTGCGCTGCGATTCGCTTGTAATACGAAGGACGACTTGCGGCGCCGTGACAGTGGACCGGACTGGCGAAAACCCATGCCGGTAGTCTGATATGCCCCTCATTAATCTTAGGGTACATCGGAGCAAAACCCATTCCAACTCGTCCCAAAAATGGGAAGAAGCGTAATCGGGCCATACGCCTTGGGTTCCGTCAATGACCTGCCGTTACCTTTCGGAATTACTACCAACCACCCATTCTTTCATACATCCGGGAAAACTCCTGTCCTCCTGTGAAAGCACACAGTCCACCTGATGGTAAGTAGTTGCTGCGGCCCATAGACATCTACATCTATCCTCGTTTGCGAATCAAAATGCAGATGCGTTGTCACCCGTGAGGACTAAGATGGAATGCCTCATTTCCAGTAAAAAGGGCCTCCGGCCACCTGCACTCACCAACCGAAACTCAGAGGTAAACCTGTACTTCACGCTGGTATTCTGTGAGGTCGTGGTACCACCCCGGTTTGAGCCGGCCCATCCGTGCGACAGCAAAAGATGCCGCGTGGCTCTACCACTGTTAGACTGGCTCTGCCGCCATAAGACGCACTGGCCCATGATACTTAGTGTCCTTGTACGCATCATCGTCCGGGCACAAAGCCACCCCCCCCCCCCTAGAATGTTGTTTCGCAACTCAATTGCATTTATGACGTCACCAAGGGTCGGTCTTTCATGTCTCTGCCAATTTTCTAAAATGCAAGGCAAGCTGCGTGTCCTCCATCAGCTGTCTATATCACGATCTTACACTATGGAAACATTCTATAGCTAGTTCCTCAGACCTGCCTCCTTTCCTTCTAGTCTTCTGGCCGTAGGCTCGTTTGCCCCCCCTCTCCTTTAAAATAAATATATATTAGATTCACCCATTGCTCCCAAAAAGGTGCTTGGTTGGCCTTCGACGTTGGCCACCACAAGTCCCCTCGACATGATGAAGTCTTCCATCGCCTTTCGTCGGTGCTCTGCTTCATGGATTCAGAGTGGCGAGTGCGCGTTGCAATCCACTCCGATTACAACGCGCTTGCATTTCAACTGGTCAAGTACGGTCTCTAGATATTGTAAGTGATGGTCAATATTGTCGCTGTATTTGAAGTATGCTGAGACGATGTAGAGACCGTACTTCTCTACATGGCATACCACGCAATAGGGGTTACTGAACTGTAACAATCTAGCAACAACTATACTATTGTTGCAGACCTTAATGCCGGCCTGCGGTCCCTCGCCGAACTGGATAATTTCCTGCGACCGGTTCCTGGACTAAGACAAAATCCAGGCCCATGTCCCTGGTAAGTACTGGGAGCTCTTTAGTAGCCATCTTGCCCCACCCCAAATTAAGCTGACCTATCGTTAAATTGCTTTTAACCGCCATGTTGAGTAGTGTTGACCGCCCTTCCCTCCGCGTACACCCTAGCCGGGCACGTCTTCGCCATCGTAGCATGGGACTTTATACCCGGCTTGTCCAATTTCCTACAAGTGGCACAGCACACATAAACTGAAGTGCAGTCTTCCCTGGCATGGCCTTCCTCTCCACATTTGCCACACGTTGCCTCTGGGCCTACAGTATTTTGCCGGGTGGCCGTACTGCTGGCATCGCTGGCAGCAGGTTACGTCTACAAAATCACATGGTCCAAACCACATCCCACCCTATTGACATTCTCCTTCCGGCCGTCAACGCGTCCCTCAAAGCAGAGGTACACTGCAGCGCCACACTAGTCCTGCGACTGCCCCTCCACGGGTTTTTGAACTCCACCTTACAATTTTTCTCTAATTCTCCCAGGGTCCATTTCTCGTTATCTCCACAATTTTGGTCATGGAGGTTATATAGGCCTATCGCCATCACCTCCTTGTTCTCCAAAGTAATGGAGTCCATTATTAACTGCCAGCTCATGAGGTACCTTGAGGATCACCAGCTGATTAGTGACCGCCAGTACGGTTTTCGTCGGGGTCGATCAGCTGGTGATCTTCTGGTCTACCTGACTCATAGATGGGCGGAGGCAGTAAAGTCTAAGCTTCTTTCGAAGCTGCCTTCCTATGGGCTTCCGGAGAAATTGCGCACATGGATCACCAGTTTCCTTGCTGATCGGAGCATCAAGTTTGTAGTAGACGGTGCATGCTCTGATTTCAAGCGTATCAACGCTGGTGTTCCACAAGGCTGCGTGCTATTACCAACGCTGTTTCTCCTGCATGTCAATGATATGTTGCAAACTGGTAACTCATTGCTATACAGACGACAGCACCGGTGATGCCTTATATACCGGCCGTGCCAATATTTCTCAGGAAAACATCGTCGAGTACCGGGACAAACTTGTGTCTGAAGTCGAGTCTTTGCTGAACAAAGTCTCGGATTGGGGGCGACTAAATCTAGTCCAGTTTAATCCTCAGAAGACACAAGTTTGCGCGTTTACCGCTAAAAAGAACCCCTTTATCGTATCTCCTCAGTTTCAAGGCACTCCCCTTGTTGCCTCAGCCAGTATCGTATTCCTCGGCGTAGACATATCGAGTGACGTGCAGTTTCGTGGTCACTTGGAAGAGAAGGCCAAATTGGCCTCTAAAAAGCTTGGCGTGCTCAGCAGAGCGAGACAGTATTTCATGCCGGCACATCGCTTCCAACTTTACAAAGCGCACATACTCTTGGGACGTGGTCTGGACCATTACTCCCGCATTAATTTAGTGAAACTTTATTGATTTCTGATTTATTAGGTTTAGAGCCTGGACTAGAGACGATCCACATGATAGTCTTTATAGGCGCTCGCGTATGCTCAATAATTTCTACGGGTGTAGCCTTGGAGGCATCAAACCCCTCCTCCAGTGTCTCCAGGTTCCTCTCAAGCGCCTGCCTAATCGGTTCTGAGGCGGCTGCGACTGGGACCGCAGTCCCTCCTTTCTTCTTTTCCTTATCCTTATCCAGTTTCTGCCGCTGCGTCATGGACTGCTGCTGGTCCGGAGACGTGAGCGGCAGTTTTTCCGCCACAGCACTCGAGCCTTCCTTTGGGTTCTGCATGCTGGGACCTGCAGGCCTCGTCGGAGCACCCCCGGTGGGCGTGCGCGCCAAGGACTTCCGCGGTACAAATAGGGGGGTTCCTCTCCCAGTACAATGGTCTAAATAATGACTTATAAAGTCTCTGACACGGTTTAAACACGAAAAATATAAAATTATGAGAAATCTAAATTTGCCGGAGAAGCATATCTAATGTCCTACAACTATGAGGTATAGTATCACCAGCAGATTTTTGGAAACATTTCAAAAAGTTTTATAATTTGAAATCGCACCACAATGTATCAGGCCCAGGCGTCACCTAGCGGCACCAGGCACAAATTATATGAAGTACAAAAAATTATAAAAAACTAAGTGCCACTGTCACAGGCCTAAATAAAAGTTGTCGCTAGCCACTCAGTGCTATTGTGGCGGAGTCAATCTAAACTAAGTAAATGCGATCTAAGCTATAACTAAAATTAAACTAGTGTCACTGCCACAAAATAGTATAGAAAGGGTTCAACTTGGCCAGCACATGCGTCGCCGAGGCGCGGAAAGTCGCACCTAGCGCCACTCAGCGGCACGTGTCGCAATGACCTCGCCTCGCTGCACCGCCAAGCACAGATAACACAGGCCATGTCGGTTGCGGGCACGGCGCTTGCAGATGGCGTCGCAGTGCCGGAAACACACACTATCGCCCCCTGGTGGCGAGTAGCTGCATATAAATTGAGAAAGCTCTCGAATGACCTGTCAAACTCGAATTTTGTATTTGACAGCAACGTGTTAGCACTACCCACTGAGGTTACATCATAGTCACAAAATATCATATTAATATAATACAATCCGATTCAACCTCGCAAACAAAATTCGCAACAATTACCACTGCTATGAACACTATATATCTGCCTACAAATGTCTTTGGCACCCAGCGTTTACTAGCCGAGAATGCCATATGGTATTAAGTCTGCCCTATGTACCCTTTACCTTAAGGTGTTACATTTAAGTTTTTAAATAAATATACTGAAATAAAAGTATCTAAAACATCAAAGCAACAAAACACAGCAAAAGAACAACTACACAACTAAAACTACATAATGAAAAACTAAATAAAATGCGAGTATACGTTAGCGCGAGTTCACGACACGTCCGATCATTACGACGACCGGAACCGAACCGCCGTAAGAGGCGACAGAGCATAACAATGGCAAATATCCCTACTATGAGGCAATCTAATAATACTAATCAACAAATTTCATCCTTAATCCCTATTGGTATTGCTCATAGATCACACGCACAATCACCAAACAATCGAGAACACTGTATACAGTATTCTATCTCATTCTCTCGCAAGCTATATCCTATTGATAGACATGTGTGTCCCTTTCTAGTGTCGGTTTTTCGTTTCATCGAGTTTCAAATATCAAAGCTTCAAAAGAAGTTTTCACGTCAAAAAAATTACACAAGAACTAGAATAACTAGAATTTATTTTTAATTATTTTTATAATATATAGCGATTGGTCTTGGATTGTGTTAGGGCTGGTCTCCTGCACCGAGCACGGCCCTACTGTAGGCCAGGTCCCAGTAGTGCTCCACGCCATGCTTCTGGAAGTGTTCGCGCGCCTGCTTCTCTGTCGGCATCACCTGGAATCAAACCTTCACTGTATTATTTTTATTCTATTTTACGATGAAGTTTTGACTTTGGTTGTTGTTAGTCGTGCACATACACAATACACAAACACAATGTGTATGTGCAGTGTGCACGACAATACAAAAACATGCGTAAGTGTCGTGGAACACTCGGCAGAAACTAAGTTCCTCTTGTAGTATATTATTATTGATAAACGTATTATATCATTGATTAACAAATACAAATGAATGAATTACTAGCGTCTATTAAAATGAAGCGTCCTTTAAAATAAATTAATATTTCTTTCATGGCAAGATAAGAAAAAGTGAGAGGGAGATGGATATTAGTCAATCTCGCTTTCTCATAGCCGCCAAGGCCGTCTACACTACGTCAGAAGGGGTCGTGACGGTAATATCTTACACTTTTTGTCACCTAGCCCCCATTCGTCAAAATTCGTACCTTGCGATAAGCAACTTAGTTCGAATAACTTTTATTTAACTACGTGAAGATTATTATAAAGTAGCACTCGTAATTCGAAAGCTAGCGAAGAAGAGTAGCTCGAAATGAACTTTATCCGTGTTTAAAATGTTTTGTTTGATAGTATAGAATAGAAAGACAACTTGATATAAAAATAATTCATCGCAATAGCAACTATATTACAATTAGTATTGTACCTAATTTTATCAATTAATGTTGCAGCTTTATTTAGAATTTTATTTAATAGACAAAACGTAAAAAAAGTTAAACAGTCCGGCCATTGATTAAGCCAGTCAAGTTTTAGGCCGTCTTTTGCTTGGTACAATAATGCAACGTTGATATTGTCGAAGTCTTACATAATTTTTACCTGTCTCGTTGGTCCTTTTTTATAGAATAAGTATGTTAAACGAGCACACAGTCTCCCTGATGGTAAGTGGATGCTGTGGTCCATAGACATCTACATCTATCCTCGATAAATAATCAAAATGCAGATGCGTTGTCACCCCTGAGTAATAAGATGGAATGCCTCGTTGCCAGTAAAAAGCGTCTCTAGTTCTCTACAATGACCATACTTTACGCTGGTATTCTGTGAGAGCGTGGTCCTTCCCCGGTCTAGCCTACCCGTTCGTTACACAAGCTTAATATAGCTGCAACGTGGTTCCGTTTAAAACATGGTCTAGGCGTAAACAATTACGGGTCGGGTCAAATATTAGTTACTGGATTTTCCTGTTATTTTTTTTTTTATTTATTTGGTTCACCAACAAATGTTACACTGATATATGTATATGCTTAATTCTAAAATAGTAATATAAACTAAGTGCACATTCAATAATAGGTGAACACCGCATGCTTAGTGTTCACAGCATCTCCTACAAGCCGTTACCAAATAGCTAAAAATATACGATACAAACTTAAAATAAACAAAATTATAAAATTAATACAAAAAAAAAAATTTTTTTTACAAAGAGATTAATATTTTGATAAATTTTGTGCCGAAAATCATTAAAAGAGTCGTGGTGAATATCTACTACATTATTATAGGTATTTAAAAGTCTGGAAAGTCTGGATATTGGGGAATTAAATCCTAGTACAGTTCTACGAAGAGGCGGCGAAAGAGGAGTAATGAATTTACGAGGATATCTACTTGGGATACGAAAATTAAATTTACGTAGTAATAAAGGGCAATCTAAGTTATTTCTAAATATTTTATATAAAAGTTGCAAATCCAGAATGTCCCGGCGTTTTGATAGTGATACCATTTTAAATGACTTTAATCTATCTACATATGATGCATTTTTATATGCTTTTCGTGTTGAAAAGGCAAGATACCATAAAAATCTTTTTTGTACGCGCTCAAGGCGAAGGTTATGGGTAGAATAATGGGGACGCCAGACTGTGCTACAATATTCTAATATACTTCTAACAATTGAGAAGTATAAAAGTTTTTTTGTGGTAACATTACGGAATTCTTTACTATTTCTTATAACAAAACCTAATGCTTGAGATGATCTTTTAATTACATTTTCTAGTTGTGGTATAAATGTAAGCTTTTTATCAAATACTACACCCAGGTCCTTAACTGTTTCCACTTCCTGGATAACTACACCATTGAGGGTATAAACTGATGGGAAAATATTATTTTTGCGAGTGAATTTAATATGTGCACATTTGTTCTGGGTCTGTTAATTAGTTCTGGGTCCAGAGTCAGGAATTTGGCGGTAGTTTCACGCCCATGCCTCGGAAAGCACATAAAGCCGTTGGTCCTGAGCCTGATTTCTCTCCGGTCGTGTCAGATTGCCGTCCCATCGGACTACGAGAGTGAGGGAATAGAATATACCTGTGCTTGCATACATACTTATGCACTATGATCCTGTGCTGTGCAGATGGCTAGTTTTTGTTGAAATTGGCCGCCATGACCGAAATTCGGCCTGGACAACTTTATAAGTCGTGAACTGTGTTACGGGATATCTTCGTGAAATCATCCAATTGTGGACAGATTTTGATGTTTATTTTTAATTAAATAGGTTATACTTCAGTGGTGATCTCGTATAAATTTGCTGAAAAATTCCATGAAGATGCATAGCTTAATGCTGCTGTGTTTCATATGGTGAGTGTAGAAACGGACACCATGGGAATGACGTGATAGCTACTATACTATTTCTAAATGTTTTCATACTTTACTTAGGGAAGGTATTATTTCAGCCAACATAACTAATAAAATACATCCGCTTAAAATACAAAAGGACAAAAAATGTGGGCGCTGGCACAATCAAAGTTTTTAATGTCATTATTTAGACAATAATATTTACGTGGCAGTCACGCTGCAAGCTATATTAGTTGCAGCACGAATAGGTCGGATGGACCGGGGAAGGACCACGCTCTCACAGAATACCAGCGTAAAATAGCAGCTTAATGCTGCCGTGTTTCGTTTCTTTTTATAGGTAACGAGGCATTCCATCTTAGTTCTCAGGGTTGACAATGCATCTGCATTTTGATTCTTAATCGAAGATAAATGTAGATGTCTATATATATACGATACCTATTGTTGCGCGCCACTATTAATGTCTTGTACATGGCAACACTAGTCACCACTAGCGCCCTCTAGTGTCGAGTAGCAGAACTAGGAGAGTCAAGATCCTTCTAGAAATTTCGGGACCGATATGTACTCGAAAATTCTAGATGTCGCTACAGTAGACGGTTCTGGAAACTATCTCAGGCCCTATATAAGGCCGGTATAGACCACGACCGAGTCAGTATTGAATTGGCGATACAAGCGAATACTTCGAAGTGAAATAATTGCGAACCAAAGTGACAATTGTGTTTTATAATTGTGTGGTTTTAAATTGTAATTAGTGTCTGTAATTAAAGTGTCAATCTTCGTAATTCAATCGGCAGTTTTTAATTGTCTCGAACCCCCAGCTCGTAACACTATTAACTTAAAAATATTAAATAACATATTATTTAAATTAATTATATCAGTGGTGGATTTTTGTAGCCATAAATATTAATGTATAATTGATTATTGCATAAACGTGTTAGAGCCATGCTGAAGCTATATTAATTGTATAGTTGTAGTTGTATTAATTGTGTAGTTGTAGTAAATGGGTTGTCTCGACAGGGGAAGGACCACGCTCTCACAGAATACCAGCGTAAAATAGCAGTTTAAAGCTGCTGTGTTTCGTATGGTGAGTGTAGAGAACCGGTGACACTTTTTACTGGAAACCAGGCATTCCATCTTAGTCCTCACGGGTGACAACGCAGATGCATTTTGATTCGTAATCGAGGAGGAAGGACCACGCTCTCACAGAATACCAGCGTAAAATAGCAGCTTAATGCTGCCGTATTTCGTATGGTGAGTGTAGAGATCCGGAGACCCTTTTTACTAACGAGGCATTCAATCTTAGTCCTCATGGAAGACAACGCATCCGCATTTGATTCGTAATAGAGGATAGATGTAGCCACTGACCATCAGGTGGACTGTGTGCTCGCTTGTCACCCTTATCCTATAAAAAATGCTATGTATAACCGTAGCAAAACATGCAGTACAAACATGTGTAACGTTACGTAAAATCTTTTATATACGATGTTTTGTGCAAATAACATATTATTATTATTAAAAGCTTGGGGTTCGAGACAATTAAAAACTGCCGAGTGAAGTACCAAAATTGACACTTTAATTACAGAACACTAATTACAACTTACAACCACACTAATAACAAAACACAATTGTACTATTGATCACTTTACTTCGCAGTTGTATTGCTTGGAAGTATTCGCTTGTATCGCCAACTCTACACTGACCGGGTCGCAGTCTATACCAGCCTTACCGGTCTCTGATAATTTCCAGAACCTTCTACTATAGAAACATCTAGAATGTTCGAGTACATACCGGTCCCGACTGACTAGGTGTCGATACTTCTAAAAAGTTTTTCCATGGAAAATTCTAGAAGGATCTTGACTCTCCTAGTTCTGCTACTCGATACTAGAGGGCGCTAGTGGTAACTAATTTTGACATGTACCAGGCGTTAATGATGGACACACTATTATTATTAAAAAAAATACCTTGAATTTTATCTCCCCGAAGGCTCTCTGCTTGGCGACCCCCTCCCACACAAGTTGGCAACTGTTCGGGACCTCAGCGCCTTCCGCGTCCTTCACTGTGTCCTCTTCCCATTTGATGCGGTGCAGCATCAACCTGGAAGATCAGATCTCACGTGAATAACTTTCTCACAGTCCAAGAGCTGTTGCTAAAGAAGCACTCACTCGTGTTCGACCCACAACAGTATTTAATGTGGCCATTAATCAACACCTGAGGTTGAACAAATGTTTTATTTTTAATATTGTTTTAAAAAACGTTACCTCCTACACCACGAATTTCTCCTGTGTCGTCCTGGTTTGTGCAGTTTACATACATAAATTGCATAAGGACAAACACCCGGCACAATTCTTTGTAGGCCGTACAAATTCTTTTTCCGTGTGGGATTTGAACCCGCGGCCCCCAGCGCTGCAACTCATTACTAAGCTACGGAGCCGTTATGTTGTCTTAACACAGTTAGTTTCAAAAGAAAAGCACATCAGCCCCCTGACGGTAAATGGTAAATGCAACCATATGTAACAGTTTTTTAAGATTTACTTATAATCTCTGGCTTTGCAATGAGAACATGCAATGAGGGTTAATAATTTACCGCTCACCAGATGTCGCTAGTTGCGACTGAGGTGAAGTTTTTTATTTCACATTTTTTATTCATTCATTCATTACATTCTATAAGAGTCCACTGTTGAACGTAGACCTCCCTCATAGATTGCTCAAGGGGGGATTTTGCGACAATTGCCACGCTTGGCAATCGTGTTGGCTACCGCAGTTTTTTTATAATTTTAAGTCGTTATCAGTTATCCTCTGTCGCCTCTTACGACACCCACGGGATGATATGGGGTAGTGGACATTCTTACACCGCCGATACACGGTTACGGTTTGTTTCACAATTCCATTCAATTGTTAGTTAATAATTGTTAATCAGTTTCTAAAGTATTATATAAATACATAAAAGAAAGCCTCATTGATTTGCTCCATGATATTTTGGAACGAAGTTCCTTATAGGACGGACGGGTTTGGCGGTTCGGAGCTAGGCGACAAAAAGTGTAAAATTTTTTCGTCACTACCTCTTGCGTCATAGTGTATTTTATTTTAAATGACGCTTCATTTTTATAGACGCTAGTAATACATTTATTTGTATTTGTTAATCAATAATGTAATACATTTATCAATAATAAGGAAATTCGTCCCAACCGAGTGTTCCACGACACTCACGCATGTTTTTTTTTTCACATTTTTAATATCTGTATTTTGTTTTTTTTTTTTAATTCTAAAAATCTAATGTCATTTGAGTAATGTGAGGTGTGAGTGTGAGTGTTGCGAGGTGCAGGTGGCAGCACTGCGTACCTTTTGTACTTTTGGTGCTGGCGCGGGCCGCCCTCGACGACGACGAGGCAGCAGCCGCGGTGCAGAACCACGCAGCCCGTCATGTGCAGCTGTCGCGCGTTCACCTCCACCTTGAACTTGGCCGACGCGCACTCGAACAAGTCTTTCACTCTATCGTGCAACACACCATATATACCGGATGTTAGTAAAACACTCCCGAAAACGAAGACAGACGATAGTACTAAGGATACCTTTGATGATGGGTCACAAAGAAATTCGATCCCGAGAGAAAAAAATCATCTTTTCACAACGTGTCATTAACTTTATTCACGCTATATTTATTCATGTTACGTACATGAAACGATAATTTTATAAAAAAATCACAACATAAATTCAGCAGTGAAACTTAAAATAAAATCAGCTGACAATAGTGTCAATATTCTCGCGGACGTCGAACTCTTATCTAGCTCGGTGCGAAACAATGCCTACTCACTCTACCCTTCCCTTTCACACACACGCCACTGCAGCCCGCCCGGCTAATGTCGCCTAGCGCTGTGGAATTAACCTTTTCTCAATAAATCTAAATAATTATCTTAACATTTTGATAGGTTACTTATGAATATCAAATGACTCCATTTTTTAATTAACTTCATTGCACCACATTTAATTTTCCGATTTATTTCAGCAACTTTTTTGTATCATTTAATGCATTACATTACTTTATTTTGTAATTTTAAAGAAAAAAAAATTGTTAGTTATAAAATAAATCTTATAAAATTAATTGAAAATTGATTCATTTCTTAAAATTTAATTGTGGGGAATTTGTGGGGAATCTGTTGAAGTTTTGTACTTAAATTGGGGAATTTCACATGCATTTTCGGGGGATTTGATAAATTGGTGTTGCAACGCTGACACGTTGCACCGAAATTTAGTTTGCCGGCGACATAAGAATTAGAGGCGGCAATCACTATAAAACTTGCAAGTAATTTTTAATAATTTTGACGTACTTCTTTTTAAATTCAAAGTATTGGTCGGATTAAACACGGAAAGTCAATTAAACCAAAGTAAATATTTTTACATTAATTCTGATAGATTAATTAACTGTCGATCATAATTGCAATTGATTTTAACTATTAAATTATTCAGTACCATTTCATTTCTATTTTCTTATACAAAATAAAAGATAACGATAAAATAGTGTTTATAATTGTGTAAGTGAGTACTGAGTACCCAATTAGGTACGTTTATTAATTTCAAAATAATTTTTGTAGTAAAGAACTGCTTGTTGCGTGAGGGTACAATTGATTGTGTAATTGTATTAAAAATGTCAACCATAACTTCTAAATTCCATATGAAGACTAGTCTTAGGGATCACTAAACTTATAAATAAAACCAGCTGCTCCCCGCGGCTACGCCCGCGCGGAATATATTACGATTTGGTACAATATATTTTAATATTTTTGCGCGGAACCTGATTATTTTTCTAATATAAAAGTTACTCCTTATAGCATCAGCTATATGATTGTCGAAAATAATTTTATAGGGCGCGCGTTGAGACACAACCATCCGCAATAGCCCGCTCGCGCGTTCTGAGCTGTGGTTCTGAGCCCGTATATCGTATACCGTATATCTATTATAACATAACATAACATAAACACTCACGCCTGTCACCCAGAGGGGTAGGCAGAGATTATGGACTTCCATTTGGCACCATCCTGACACACCTCTCTCGCTTCCTCCACATCCATATACCTACGCATACACGCTATCTATTATATCTTATTATTATATTATTATTATACTTAGTGTTTACATTCGATTATGTTGAATGTATATTATATATTATTATTATTATATCTACCTTTATTAATTACCTTTGAATTAGATTTTGTTCACAATTTCAAGGCTTTTAATTTTTTTTTCACGGAAACCTAATTTGTTTTCTAAAATAAAAGTAGCCTAAGTTACTCCTTATAACATCAGCAATCTTCCAATGAAAGTTCCGTCAAAATCGGACCAGCTGTTTCGGAAATTAGCCGGTACAAACAGACAGACGGACAGACAGACAGACAAAAATTTTAAAAATGTCTCTTTTGTTATAAGTACCGTATATACTTGCCTATGTATTAAGTAAAAAGCTGTTATTTTGATATTACAAACAGACACTCCAATTTTATTTATTTGTATAGATAAACGTTGGCATCGTCGTAACGGTTTTACGGTCTGTGGAAGTGCTTAGTGCTTCAAAGACGTTACGAATGCCTCTTGCGTTGATTTTTAATTTTATTTTTTGAGACAGTTCCGTGTTGACTATTACGTGCGCGTGAGCAACAGTTCAATCGTTTTGTTTATTAAATTCTTGTTGTTACGTTTTGTGTTTCTCGTTTTGTTTTAATAATGCCTAATGCGAAGGTACGTTTATAGTGCTCGTGAATACGGCAACATGTTAATGTGTCTTGGAGAATGTCATAAGGTCACGGAGAATTTAGATCGGTAAGCTGTTTCATACCTATTTTTTTTAAATAACTTAGTACGGAATTCATTTGAATATACATAACTGAATACATCTGAATAATAAACATACCTACACGATGGCTAAAAAAGCATGAGTCTAACCTTGTTAACATTAATTTCATTTAAGTAATTTTTTTATTAGCTGGGAATCGACAGGTCAAATACCTGTATTTAACCTGTGAATAAAGTGGCTAAGTGGTGACAAGGACAGTGGAAAAATAGTAGGTTAAGTAGATAAGTTAAGTATTTCGACAAGTGTTGCAAATTATTAGGTATTGTGGTACCATCGCTAGCTGCGGGACGCGCGAATTCGGCGTCCGGGCGCACATTGACCCCTAGTCAGCTGATTGTAATTCCACTGCTGGTTTTATGTTTAAGTATTTTCATGTTTTTTTTTTAATGAAATTATCGTTTCATTTAGCTGTACTAATGATGGAGCGTGAATAAAGTTAATAAAACGTTGTGAAAAGATGATTCTTTTTTCCTCGGGATCGAATTTATTTGTAACCCACGATCAAAGGTACCCTTAGTACTATCATCTGTCTTCGTTTTCGGGAGCGTTTCACAAACACCCGGTATACTTAGTACTAGCTGTTCCGATTTATTACGATTTTAATTTTATACGTTTTAATTGTCTTTTTGCGCGGAATAAGGAGTAACTTGGGCTACTTTTATTCCAGAAAAGGATAGGGCCTTTTCTGGAATAAAAGTAGCCTAAGTTACTCCTTATAACATTAGCTATCTGCTAGTGACAATCCGTTCAGCCATTTTAGAGATTAGTCGGAACAAACAGACAGACAGACAAAAATTTTAAAAGTTGCGTTTTTGTTATAAGTATCGTAAATACTTTCATATGCGCCTGATTCCGGTCGTGTCGTTTTGCCGTGCCATCGGACTACGAGAATGAGCCAATAGAGTGCACCTGTGTTTGCAAACACATTCGTGCACTATAATCCTGTCCTGCACAGATGGCTAGTCTCCGTTTAAACTGTCCGCTGTAACCGAAATTCGGCCTGGAAGACATTATTATAATTTATTTATTGCGAAAACACTTTTTTTTACCTAAGTAGAGATGATTTGCATACATACTTGAAGTGTCTTCTGCAGTGCCTAACATCTAAATCTACCCTCGACTTTTTTAAATTGTTTTCATGATTTAATTTTACATTATACTTTCTAAATAATAAATGGATACTGGTGGCTCAGGACCGTGCTCAGTGGCATTCCTAAGGAGAGGCCTGTGTTCAGCAGTGGACTTGTAACGGGTTGTAATGATTTTGATTTTCATTAATGTATAATATATATATATATTATATATAATACATCAAAGGGTAGGATATTTACCATTTCTGCCATGTTCGGCAAGCGGGTTGGCGATCGCAGTTTTTTTTAAATTCTTTAGTTGTTATTAAGAAGACGCTGTTGCTGATCTTCTGTTTCAGTTTCCCTCCGTCGCCTCTTACGACACCCACGGGCAATACGGAGCAGTGGTTATTCTTACACCGTTACTACAGGGTAATTAATGTCTTAATAAGCATGCAAACAACCCGTCAGCTTAATATAAGGAAATTATTTCGATGGTACAGACAGATAATTCAATTTTATTTATGTTATGTATCGATTTATGTTAATACTGACACTATAATATTTCAACCTTAGTTTGACTTACCTATATACTGCGACATGGACCGCCATGCTAGTATCCTCCCTGATCTTCCTGTCGATCTGCAAGGAGAAAAACATATTTCCAGTTATGACGTAAGTTCATTAGAGTTATAAACGGGTTAACGGTCCACCTAAAGTGGCTACTGGGTTGGTTCTCATTTTAAAAAAAAGGTAAAGGCATCCAGCTCGAAGGACCACTATTTACTTGTATATTTCTATTGATATGGCTAGCAGTGAAACTTGGATACTTGTAAAAATATTTATTTTAACCACTTGAATTTATAAAATACTAGCGAACCGCCGCGGCTGCGCTCACGGGTGATTTCGGCATCTTGACAGCAGCGCCATTTACCGGGTCCAATTGTGACTCTAAGCCATCCAATGACCCACTCAAATACACAAAAATTTGAGAGTTTTTACGAGACTAACTCACGGGGTAATTGATTTTTATATGTATAGTGCGCAGAAATAGTGTCTGTCGACAACTACCTACTTCGTACAGGGACTCACCTTCTCCCTCTTCTGTTCCTTGGTGAGCGCTCTGGCTTTGTTGGCTTCGAGATGTGTCTTCTGCCGCTTGGCGATCTGCTCGCGCACTTTGGCCTCGATGGCGGTGGGATCCTGCACAGCTTCCGTACCTAATGCACGCATCAGGTTCGATATCCTGGTGAAGAGTTTTACTTTATCGAATAAGAGTGACAAACGAGCACACAGTCTACCTGATGGTAAGTGGTCGCTGCGGCCCATAGACATCTCCATCGGTAGTGAAACCTCCATAGAAGCCGAGAAACGGGCTTTTGGTCTGAAGTTAGGGGCGCTTGGGCGACGTTTGCAAGTTCACTTCACATTTCAATGTTTAGTCTGTGTGTTTACTTGGGCGAACGAATATTGCGGGTTGAAAATTTAGGTTTTCTTAGATTTTTAGTGAAAATGGAGGATAATAGTGTTTCTTGTAATGAATTAAAGTGAGTTAAAGCGCTAATCCGCGAGGAAAAGGCAAAATCTTTAAACTTTGTTGAGAAATATACTCGTATATGCATATGAATTCACTAACGACGACGACTTAAGAAAGAGATACTATTCGATTTAGATTATGAATATTTTTTTTTAATTTTGTACATACATAGTTTGTTTGTACTTTGTTCATGCTTTTCTTTTGTTCATGTATTATATTGTACGTAAATATTTTTTTCTTTCGCACAAGCAAATCCAAACGGCTTTTTTCAAAGCCACCAAAGGTATGCAATTGCTGATATGTCATAAAATCTATCGAGCAGTAGTATGCCTTTTGTGTGCTTTAATAAACACGTCCTCCACAGCACTGAATATGAAGCTGAAGAGGGGAGACAGATCAAGATTGGTGTATTTTTATAAAACTGCTAAAAACAACAAAACCATATCTTGGGCTTGCCCTAGTTTGGAGCACTAGCTTTGCCACTAATCTCCATCTATACTCGATTACGAATCAAAATATAAATACGTTGTAAACAGTGAAGACTAAGATGGAATGCCTCGATTCCAGTAAAAAGGTTCTCCAGTTCTCTACACTCACCATACGAAACCACAGCATGAGTTGTTATTTTACGCTAGTATTCTGTGAGAACGAAGTCCTTCCCTGGTCTACCACGTATGCTCTACCACGTGTCTAGCATGTCTAGCATGGCTCTACCACGTATAAAAACACACACTTATATTACCAGTTCTTGTTGGTCACATACCTGAGCTTGGGTTCAGGCGGTGCTTCCAGACCGAGGCGGACCTTCTCCTGCTCTTCTTTCCACGCCTCCCGGCGGCTCTGGCGGCGCAGCTTCTTCATCTCCTTTTTGGTGAGGAACACCGGCATGTACGTGGGCTTCAGGGGCTCCGCTGTGGATGGTTTATACTAATTTGAGACCACCCGTTAAATCACATCGCATTATATAACTTGTATGAAAACTAGTGTTGCGGCTGAAGTTTCTAGCAAGCGCCGAAATTAAACGAACTGTTACGAATGAGCGAGAGCGCGATGGACGTGGCTACGCAATTTTCATCAACTTCTAGAAATTATTAAAATTACTTCTTCATATAATATAGGCATAAACCTTTAATTTGTTTCAAAATAATTTTTATTAATAATTTTAGCCAATCTTGAACTGAATTATTAAGAGGTTTTAACTTCGACTTCAGCCCGAAATCGAACTACGATCGGGCACTAATGGACAAGTTAATATATTATCTTCTTACTAATTATAATATACTTAATATATAATGTTATTGTTACTGTGAGTAAAACTGCCCAATAGGACGAGAAATAGATGTATTCTGCACACACACAGCAAGAAAACAATGACGTCGTCCAAAATCGCCAAGCTTCTTCGGCGAGGTTCTTAATAATTGCAGAAGTCATAGTTCGATTGCTTATTTTTTTTATAGGATAGGGTGACAAACGAGCACACAGTCCACCTGATGGTAAGTGGTCGCTGTGGCCCATAGACATCTACATCTATCCTCGTTTGAGAATCAAAATGCAGATACGTTGTCACCAGTGAGAACGAAGATGGAATGCCTCTTTTTCAGTAAAAAGGGTATCCGGTTCTCTACGCTCACCATACGAAACACAGCAGCATTAAGGAGCTATTTTACGCTGGTATTCTGTGAGAGCGTGGTCCTTCCCCGGTCGAGCCGATCCATTCATGCCACAACTATACTACTAATATAGCTGCAGCATGGCTCTACCACGTAGAAAATATAATCGCTTCCCGAAGTAGAGTCCACTTTCGCTTTCCCTAAAATAATTGATACTCCACGAAACACTGCATGAAGAGGAATATAGAACATTCTAGGTCTAAATAAAGACATTTAGTTAAATGAAGTATTTAAAAAAATCATTCCGCCATCCGTCCTCGCTTATCTGTTGCACCGAGACGGACACTTCCGGTAACACTACGAAATTAAACAAAATAATAATTTAATCTTCACTTCATGTGAAGTTTGTTGATTGACGTTTGGTTCAAAACTTATTAGATAATTTTAAAAACTAGCGATCCAACCCGGTTTCGCTTCGGTCACGATAACAGCGCCACCTACCGGGTTCAAATAAGAATCGTTTAGATCATCCCGAGACCCACTCAAACATACACAGAAAATTTCATCAAAATGGAATTTTCGAATTTTTGCGATACTAACGGAGAGCAATTGATTTTTATATATAGATATAACATATTATACCACAAAACAAATTAGAAATAGCTTCGTAGCGATCACCTCATTCCCGGGGTTATTATCATCCATAAATACAATAACGAAATATAATTCGACTGAATTGATTCATTAGTACACTGTAAATCGTCAAACCGATATGGAAGCGGAAACATAACAGTAATATATATATAAACATTGTTAAAATTACTGTCTATTTTAATATCGTTACAAGTATTGCGTACATATCTTTATTGTTTTACGTTATATTTATATATTTATCCTCACATATAAATACAATTGAAGTGTATTGTTGTGTTTTTTTTTATAGAACAAGTTTGGCAAACGAATACACAGTCGACGTGAAGGTAAGTGGATGTTGTTGGTCCGAGAGTTCATGACGCATTTTTCATGGAGTGTTTGATGGATCATGAAACTTTGTTGAAAAGTATCAGTCCATTCAATAAATAGGTATTTGACTGTTTGCCTGGCCTGTGTAGGCCAGGCAGACAGTACCAGGTACCAGGCAGTACCAGGTGTACCCAGGTGGGTACACCTGGTACTGCGCATACAAGGAAGTCGCAAAAAATTCGCCCATAAAAACTGTATGATTCAATTATTAATAATGACTATGCGTCAGCTAAGTTGATAAAGAATTAAGAAAAAAAAGTGGCAGACACTTCTGAAGGTATTGACATAGGGGCAAACTACCCCTAAGTTTTGTTTTCAAAAATTAAAACAGAAGTGTTTGATTTTATCTACCATTTTTACACCGTGTTTATTATACATAATAAAAAAATTCTCACAAAAGCGCACACAGTTTCTCCGGGGGTTAATAATTTAAATAAATTATTTAAATAAATTAATTTAAATTATTAACCCCCGGATTATCTTAGCCTGTGCCAACGTCGGATCTTTCGAGTACCGATTCCCAATTCACACAGTAGCTTTATCAAACGCCACTCACCGTTTCTTCTGCCTAGCATTTGCAACAAATTCTGCTGTCTCTTCCCAGATTTGAGGTCTTTGTCCACAAGCAGAGTCAAACACAAAATAACAACCTGGTTGCTACATGCTTCTTATCAAGAAACGGAAAACTTACTTTCCTTTCATAGTTGACCCCATACATGCACACGCGTAGACTTACACTCACTCACACACACACGCAAGCACGCACCCCCCCTCCCCAGACACACACACGCTCGTACGCACGCAAGCACTCCTAGAGTAAATTAGCAATTTTTTTTCTTTCTATCATGCATTAATTTATACAAAAAAATTTTTTTTGCTTTATTTTAATTTAATCGGAGTCCTATGTATTTATCGGTGTAAACGGTGTCAGTCAATGTTCTTGGTTCCTGCGATACAAGCCTAGAACGTGCAGAAACCAGTGTATTGTTTAATTATGTAATATTTTTTGGTTAAATAAATTTCATTTTCTATTTCTATTTTCTAAATCTTGCGTATAACTAATAAGGTAATTAAAAAAACTTACTTCTATCAACCCGACAATTACTTCTTTATTACCATTAGCTGTAATTATTGTTGCAGGAGGGATCTAGGTTATTACTTTATTTATTTATTTTTGAAAACATATAAAAAATAAATAGTCTTTGGTTATCTTAAGAATAAATAGCGCTACATTAATAAATCCTATAGAGACGAAGACGGGGCGAGTAGTATATAAATAAAATTGAACTGTTTGTCTTTGATATCGAAATACGAGTACCTGCCCTTTATTAAACGCAGGGGGTTTTTGAATGCTATTAAAGTTAAAGCATCTAAAGTCCACTGATGAACATAGGCCTCCCTCATAGATGGAACATTTGCCATAGTTGCCACGATTAGCAAGCGGGTTGACAATAGTAGTTTCTTTAGACGTTTTTATGAAGACGCTGCTGCACATCTCCTGATTTGTTTATCGCCTCTTACGACACCCACGGGATGAAATGAGGTAGTGGATATTCTTACACCGCCACATCACCTCCAATTGTCTAAATTTATTTAAAACTAGCACCCGCCCAGGCTTCACTTGTATCTATTAATGTGGTGTAATTTAAAATTAAAATAATCATCAATTACGATTTATTTTATCAATTTTTCGATTTAATAAAATAGAGCCTACATTACTCCAAAACTTTGCATTTTATCTGTTTGTCAAGTTTCATTGCAATCGGTTTAGCCATTCCGAAGATTAGTCCGGAAAGGCAGACAGGCGGACAGAAATTTAAAAAATAGTTGTTCATGTTTTAAAAGCATGCTAATAACCTCTCAGCTAAATAAAAGGCAATTAATTCGATATTACAGATAGACATTACAATTTTATTTATATGTAAATTTATTTAATATTATTTAATTTAATATTAATAACGACCACAGGCGCGGGCGATCGCTAGTCTCATACCGCACGAGATAAAGCATTACTCAACAGAGTTTAACGCAATACACAATCGACCTCAGTTATATTTAGACTGGATTATTGTTCACAGTGAAAATGTTGTGGCCTCTGTTTGTACTAGCCGTTATAGTTAATATGGGTGGAAAATTAAATAATTACAACATAAAAAACCATCCGTTAGATATAAGAGTGAAGAGAGATGTCGTTGAGAACATAACTAATAACACAGAAGCTATTACTGAAGACAATGCACTGAACGAGACGCCACATGCTCAGAATAATACATTTTCCATAAACGAAACTACTGAAGCATCGACGATTTCGGCGCAAGATGACGAATCAGAAGAAGAAACAAGTTCAGATTCAAGTACTACGGTGACATCTAACAATTATCGATTTAAAAACTGTGATGAACCGACTATACATAAACCAACTGAAGAATATGAAAAAAATGATGATTTAATAGTAGCAGTAATATGTGACAAACATTTAACTTTAGAAAATGAGACCAACAAAGAATCTTTTGAAGAAGCTGGAAAAATTAGTGAAGAAAATGAAGGAGTGAAAAACGATCAAAATACCAAAGAAAAAAGAAATGAAGAAAATATTGAAGGCCGTAAGCAATATCATAGCGAACCACAGGTTAGTTATGTTGACGACGACCGACTTATCAAACTTATCTACAATCCTGGCAGAAATAATAAAATTCTTTTGCCTTCAAAAAAACTTCAAACAAAAAATATAACAGAAGAATCGTCAGATCGGGTGAAACGGAACACACCGTACAGTAATTACGAAAACATTTACAATAGCTATCCATACACGAATTCAAATAGATCATGGGTTCAAAGCGCGTCTTTTCCATATGCTAGGAATTATACTGGACCCATGTGGGGAGCTAATAGGTTCGAGGCACAGTATCCCAGTGTCAATAAAACACCTTTTTATAGCAAATATAATTCTGCTACAGGATACAACAAAACAGATAATAACTACAGACAAATGGGCGAAGGATTTGCAGCCACCTATGTAAACCACACAAATCTGTATTCTAATTATCCTAATTATCCAATAAACACTAATTTGACAAATGTTTACAATCCACGATATAACCAATCTAATAATGGATTTAATAATCTCTACAACAGTGATATTTACAGATCTGCCGCAAATCCGAGTCCGCAGTATCCCGCAGATCGTTACGATAATTACAATAACCGGAATTCAACAAATAACTCTATTAACAATTTCAACGGTTTTAACAGCGTCTTGCCCAGTAACAATCCACAGTACGTTACACCCGGATATACGACGAGTAACCCCGCCGGATATGAAGTTAAAACAACAACACCGCCGCCCATTATTGTTGAGAGTTGTTTTCTGTGCGTTTCGGTTGGGTGTCCCGCGTTCTTCAAGAAAATCGGATTCATGTGCGTACCGGTAGACGAAGTGTAAAAAAATTCTAAATAATACAATTTTAAAAATAATAGACTATTTTTTTTTGTATGGTGTAGAAGAGTGAGAGGGACGGTATAACGGATGATTATGAAGAGTGTTAGTGTGTTTGAGAGTAGAGAGAAGGGAGGTCTCGGATGATTGTGCTGTTTGTATGTTAGAAGCTATGTTCTTATAATTTTAAAAAAAACATGAGTGAGTGTCATGGAACACTCGGTTGGAACAAAGTTCCATTCGTAGTATATTATAATTGATAAACGTATTATATTATTGATTAACAAATACAAATAAATGAATTACTAGCGTCTATTAAAATGAAGCGTCATTTAAAATAATATTTCTTTCATGGCAAAATAAGAAAAAGTGCGAGGGAGATGGACATTATTCCATCTCGCTCGCACTATGGAAAGGGGATCGTGACGGAAAAATCTTACACTCTTTCTCGCCAAGCCCTCGTCCGTCAAATTCGTACCGTCGTTCGTGCATCTGTTACGTGTTGCAGCCACGATGCAGCTATAAACTACGGTTGTAGTACGAATGGGTCTGCTCGACCGGGGACGGACCACGCTCTCACAGAATACCAGAGTGAAATAGCAGCTTAATGCTGCTGTGTTTCGTATAGTGAGTATAGAGAACCGGAGACCTTTTTATTGGAAAAGAGGCATTCCGTATTAGTCCGCAGGGGTGACATGTGCATTTTAATTCTTAATCGTGGATAGATGTAGATGTGTATGGACCACAGCATCCACTTGCCATTAGAAGGACTGTGTGCACGTTTGTCACTGTTGTTCTATAAAAAGTTACTTTTCTATGATAACGAAAGAAGTGAGAGAAAGCCTGTTGCAACTCTTTCTACTTTTTTATAAGAGATGATTGTACTTCTATTTATCGAGAAGCTCTTAATATCGTCTCTGTGACAGCTCGTTGGTCTAGAAATCGTAAACGCGATTACAGGTTATAGGTAATATTGGGCATTTTAGTCACGAAATTGTAAGTAGCAGTCCGGAGTTAGAAAGTTGGCGGTATTTCACCCCCGTGCATTGGAAAGCGCGTAAAGCAGTTGGTCGCTCGTGTCGGTTTACCGTCCCATCGGACTATGAGAGTGAGGCAATAGAGAGTGCACACTTGTACACTATAATCATATCCTGCGCAGATGGCTAGTCTCCGTCGAGACTGGCCCGTCATGACCGAAATTCGGTCTGGAAGACATTGTTATAATCTTTGTGACTTTATTAATTTGTTTTCTTTTAAGCAGGAAATATTTGGGACAAAATACACCGCGAATAACAACATTACTCAATGACTCAGTCGGTTCTACCTAATTAATGTAATATATTTGGTTGGTCGCTTGTAAGTAATAACAGTTCTTGATGTTCGAATAAGGTGAAACATTTGATAGGTTTCATAATGGGGTAATTAATTTGTTACAAAAGTGTAGACATTAATGTATCTTTCTTAAATATTTTATAATAATTAGATTACAAATGGATAAATCAAACTACAGACATTCCCAAATAGAATAGAATATATTTTTTATAGATAAGAAGTAATTCTTGTTGGAAGTCACTTTTTACTTTTACCACTGGTTACAAAACAAAAAATCCCCTGTTCGGGAAAAACCAGTAAGAAACCCAGCGGGACCTTTTTTTAAGTATATTGTACAATAAGTTATATAAACTACTTAAAACATATCTAAGAAGCAATTTGGAGTCTACATCTCATTCCAAAGGGTTATTATCAACCATGTATTATTATATTACAATTACCTTTTTTATAGTTTCCATTTAATAAAATATTTAAATTTGGTAATAGAGAGGTCGTCCAACCGTCAGTAAATAAAATTTTTGACCTTATCTTTACATCATGCAAATGTTGACGATATATCGATATTTATCACGCGATATATATCGATACTTTTTAAAAATATAGATTCGATATATATCGATATATTTTTTCCCCTTGCCCATCCCTAGGTTCAGTTCTTGCCCATTTTATAACATATTGGCATTCAGATTTTTAACACTCATAACGCGAAGCCTTTGAGTGACTCCCGACACGTCAAGGTCAAGCAATTGTGTGTTCTTAAAATGCCTCTGTCATAACTTTATATATAAAATATAAATTGCACTTATACAATAATATGAGTAGCCGTATATCAAGAAAACACTCTAATTAATTCATCTTATATTTTCAAAAAAATCATTTTATATTCCTACTTTGAAAAAAAAAACGGTTTAAAATATGTTTACCTAGACGTCCCGATGTCTGTACGCTACTTAAAAAAAAAATTACGTATCGAATTCAGAACTACATTGATTTTTTTAGCTTTTGATAGACAAAGGACAAATGTACCATACAGACTATATCGATTTTATACTTTGTGTAATCGATTTATTTTGCTAATTTATTATTTTCATCAAAATTAAATGAAACGCTCATATGAATGGATTTTCCATTTTTCTTTAATTTTATTGCATGGTTAATAACGTTAAAATAATACACTGACTTTGATATAGCATTATTCACTTGTTTTAAAGTTTAAAAACAATGAGGTATCATTAAACAATTGAAACTACACAATATCATTGAATAAAACTACTTTGACGTATTTGAAATGTCGGGGATTAAATATAAGTAGTAATAAAAGCGATAAAATCCGTAAAAGTAGTTTTATTGAATGTGTAGTATTCGCGTAAATATAAGAAATCGTTAACACAAAATCATTATTAAGTAGTAGAAATTTAGTTAGTAATACAAATGGGTTGAGAATTGAGAGACACCCATTACTACAGATGACCTGGATGATCTTTTACCATTGATAATCCCATTTTGCGTTCAATTAATAACAAGTCCAAGCGCGTGTTCCTAACACTACAGTGCTGCAGTTCTCCCTCATGTTGAACACAGTCGAAGACCTTGCAAAGGACACACGATATACCCAAAGTAATCTATGAATTCAATTGCACAAAATTATGATTAATAAGCTTAACACTGGCGTCAGTAGTCAGGCGATCCCTTAACCTAATTGATTTTTGTGAAGCAATTAATTTATATTAAAAAAAAAAACTTAACATCTGATCTAAAGTGTTTCTTTTAATTTTACTTACAGTTGTTAGTACAGAAATTGGTCTAAAATGGGCGGGGTTTATGTCCGATGGTACGGCAATCCGACACGACCGGAGAGAGAGATCAGGCGTAGGACTAATAGCGGTGAAATACCGTCAAATCCCTGAGTCCGGGCTGCTACTGAGTATTTCTTGGCAGAAAAACTCGACCACATGACCAACAAGGCAGCTCAGTAACGAGAAGCCTATCGTATCCTAACAGGTAAAACCATGCAGCTATGTTATGGTTGTAACACGGCTCGATGGACCATGATCTCAAAGAATACTAGCGTGAAATATTCAATTAATGCTGCTGTGTTTCGTATGATGAGTGGAGAAAACCGGAGACCCTTCTTACTGGAAACGACGCATTCCTTGGGCCTCAAGAGTGATAACGCATCTGCATTTTGATTCTTAGCCGAGGATAGATGTAGATGTGTATGGGCCACAGCAACCACGTTTGTTATTCTTATTCTATGTATTTATATATTATCTTTACTATATATTTATTAAAAAAGATAGTATCTGGACTCACTGGGTGGACGTAACTGCTGCGGGTGCTCCACCAAGTTGGTGATGGCGTCCTCGTTGAGGTTGTCCACGATGTCGTCGGCGCCCACATTACAATCGTCAACCCGCTGGATATCGGTCCGCGAGTCGCTCGACGGCTTGCCTCGCTTTCTCTTCTCTTCTCGCTCTTCTGGTGTCATCAGGATCACGCTGTCCCACCTGACACGGCGGTTACAGGTGAAATACGAAAGATTTGTATCGACTTAGTAAACTAAACATTACCAATCACATCTACTACTCAAGTAAGAAAGACTCATAAGTGGTAGAGCCAAGCTGCGGCAACGAAAGGTATTAAGAAAAAATAGTTTAGTTCAGTAAGTTCAGTGACGGTGTAAGAATATCCACTATCCCATATCTTTCTGAGTGTGTCGTAAGAGGCGATACATGGAAATTGAAACAGGTGATGGGCAGCAGCACCTTGCTGATAACAATTTAAAAAAAGGGCGGTTACCAACCCGCCTTCCAAGCGTGGAAACTATGGCAAGATATGAGGATATGCCTCCCTTATAGATTGCCATGAGGCAATCTATAAGGGAGGCATATGTTCAGCAGTGGACTTTAATAGGCTCTGACGGATTGATGACTGGAAGATATAGTTATAAAATATATGAGTAATGGGACACAAGTACAAATATGTCATTTAAACTGATACGTCGAAAGCGTTCAATTATTTTAATCCTAAGAGATTAGTAAATAAATGCATACGGTATCAGAGATAAATTTTTGAATTGTATAGCATCATATTTTGATAACCGGAATCAGTGTGGATATTAAATAGATATCTCAATCTAGTTTATTTCCTAGAACTAATAATGAAAAGCTACATTTGTATGATCATATAATAAAAAAGTTTGGTGTTCCTCAAGGAAGTGTCCATGGGCCATTACTTTTCTTTATTTATATCAATGATTTACCAAAATTCGTACGGCAACATAATATGATTCTATTTTCCGATGACAGTACTGCTATAATAAAATGTCACAATGGAAATAAATATGAACATGACATAAATGTTGCTTTTAAAGATATTATACAAAGACTTGACATATATCATTTAAAAATTAAAAAAAAATACTAATATTATGCTCTTTTATCAAAATTCTAAGTTCAAAATCTTAATTTAAACTATAAACTACAAGACTTTGAAGAAGTACAAATTACTAAATTTCTTGGATTTACAATTGACAATAATGTAACTTGGATATCTCAGGCTGCACCAATATGTGAAAAATTAAGTAAATCAGCTTATGCGTTATTTAAATTGTCAAGTACTTTGCGTTATGGTATAATATTTTGGGGAAACTCACAAGAAACGAAAAGAACCTTTGAGGCTAAAAAAATATGATTGAGGTCATAAAAAATGCATTTTTTTTTAAAATTGAATCCACATTAGTTTAGTAAATTAAGAGAAACAAGGAAGAGAATAGAACAAGAGGTTAGCACAATACTGCATGATGAGAAAAAGTGTTACTAGCATGAGACCTATCATCTATATATATATAAATCAATTGCTGTCCCTTAGTCTCGCTAAAATTCGAAAATGGCTCGACCGATTTTGATGAAATTTTTGAAGTGAAAACTTCTTTAGCCGCGCTGAGCGGTTTTAAACTTATGGGCTCGCGTCACCGATGACATTGACATTTAGATAGATAAAGAAACACGGCATAACAAATGTTGGTGAGCTTTTGACGGGTAATTGGTTGCCGGTTGATCGTTGCTTCTGTATTATTATATAAATAATTGTTTTGAAGTAGATTTTGATATGTAAAAGTGTATTAAATGTCTGCGCATGTAATCTATTAGTGAAAACGGTGAAACAAGTGCTGCGATGATGATGTGAACCTCAAGATAATATAACTGCTTAGGCCACTTGAGAAACTGTCGTCATAGACTGTCTGCTGGCTAAAGCTGCCGCCAAACTAAAAACTTCGCAATTCGACGCATCAACATATTACGAAGAAGTTTTTAATTAAATTATTTCATTAAGATAATTTTATAATACTTGACACTGGAAAAAGAACAACCGTACGAGTCCATTACCAAAAAAAAGAAAGATATATTGGTATTTACCATTCGATATCTGGCACTCGGTCACTGTCGGGTGTATCGGACGCCAGGAGAGCCAGTTTGGTCGCTGATGATATTCCAGTTTTGCGCGCGATCTGGCTGATCTCATTTTGAAGTTTCTCCAGTTGAGCCTGGGGATGAAGTTAAATTAGCTCCGAGGGAAATCCTTTTAGAGCTGACAACTCCATATATTTTTATTTTTATTGAAGTAATGACAAAGGAATTTACAGTCCACCTGATGGGTAAGTGGCTACTGCAGTCCTTGAACACTTGCATCCAACTTCACACAAAGAAGGCTCCAAATATGTAAACGTAACAACGTTTGAGGACTAAAATATAACTACAACTAAGATAGAATAGTCCAACATATAATTATACTCGCTCTCTATATCATTCAGAGCGAAACACAGCAACGCAAGCATGTTGGTTGGCGGTATAAAATAGGTAAAAAGGCAGTACCAACCCAGACGGACTTCTACTTGAAAATAAACCAATAACTGATTTGGGTTCGACCCGGGCTTCGAAGACTGTATACTAGACAGCAGGCTGAGTATACTACGCACTACACACTCATACGTTTACGTGGTAGAGCTATGTTGCAGCTATATTATGTTTCTGTCGGCACAAAGGACCAAGCTATCACAGAATACCAGCGCGAAATAGCAGCTTAATGCTGCTGTTTCGTATGATGAGTGTAGAGAACCGAAGGCATTCCATTCCTTCTTAATCCACAGGGGCGACTACGCATATGTATTTTGATTCTTAATCAAGCATAGATGTAGATGTCTATGGGCTACCATCCATTTAACATCTAGTGGACTGTGTGCTCATTTGTCACCCCATATTCTATAAACATTTATCTTTATATATATTAAATATATATATATATATATATATATATTATAAAGATTAAATAATTTATTTATTTAATCTTTATTACACACCTTATAATCTATAAAAATAAATAAAATTGTAGTGTCTGTTTTTTTTACTAAATGCATATGAAAGTATATACCAATACGGTACTTATAAGAAAAACACAATTTTATAAATTTTTCTCAATCTATCTGTTTGTTCCGAATAATCTCTGAAACGGCTAGACCTATTTTGACGGGACTTTCACAGGCAGATAGGTAATGTCGATTTTCTTTTAATAATCAGTGTGGCACTCAGCTGATATCGTAAACCTAAACTGCATCTTGAGATATGTTTATTAATAGGATCATAACCTCTACATTGTACTCAAGTGGGTGTACTTGAGCTGAGTAACGTTTATTAATATCGGCCTAAGTCTTCTGTAACTTTTAATCCCAAATCTGTTTGTACTTTAGCATCTGTAAGTGGTGTGCCGCCCAGTTTATAGGTAAGACGAGGGTTACGGTTTCCTATGTGTAATACTGTACATTTTGAAATGTTGAGATTTATGAGCCATTCTTTGGACCAAATAGCTATTTTATTTAGATCATCCTGAAGGCGGACGTAGTCAATTAGTGGAGTTGCAAATGTTTTAGTATCATCTGCAAAGATGATGACATTACACTGCAGGCAAAGGGGAAAGACAAATGTATAAATAACGTAAAATACAGGGTCTAGAGCGGAACCCTGTGTCAGACAACTATGTATTTCTATGTGATCAGACTTTGTTTCACCAATTCTCACTTGTAGGGTTCTCCCACACAAAAACAGACTCGATCCAAGCCAGTAGTCTTCCATGTATTCCTACGTATTGTAGTTTCTGGAAAAGGCTTCTCGTAGGGACTTTATTGAAGCGCTTTTCGTAGTCGAGATAAATTACGTCAATAGGCTCTCTCTCGTCAGTGTTTGGTCCATGATAATAGGTATAATAATTAAAAATAATTAAATTAAAAATAAAATTAATTATTTTAAAAAAGGGATTGGGGTTCCGCGCAAAAAAACCCCATAAAATTCAAACATACGAGGGTGGATTGAAAAGTACTCGGCCTAACCAAGAAAATAAACAAATACTAAATCAGTTATATTTTTATTTTTCTACATAATCACCATCAAGTTCAATACACTTTTGCCACCGCCCCTTTCAAGCATTTAGACCGTTTAAAAAAATGTTTTGATTCTTCCTTAGAGTCAAAATATGCGTCTACAGCTGCTTTGACCTCGTCGTTTGTCGAAAATCTTTGACCTCCCAAGTGCTTTTTTAGGTTAGGGAACAGAAAGAAGTCTGATGGTGCCAGATCAGGTGAATACGGCGGATGCGGTAACAGTTCAAAGCCACAGTTGTGAATTTCAGCCATTGACTGTACTGACGTGTGAACACGGGCGTTATCTTGATGAAACAGGACTTTTCTTCTGAGCATTCCTCGACGTTTTTCTTTTATTTCCTCTCGTAAACAACGTAGTAAGGTGCAGTAGTAATCAGAGTTTATATTCTGACCCCTTTAAAGATAATCAATCATAATCACACCTTTCGAGTCCCAGAATACTGAAGCCATCACCTTATTTGCCGACAAAATCGACTTAGCCTTTTTAGGGGGTGGTGAACCAGGTCTTCTCCACTGTTTTGATTGTTGTTTTGTTTCCGGTGTACAGTAATGAATCCATGTTTCGTCCATAGTAACAAAACGATTCAAAAAATCATCTGCATCGGCTTCAAATAACTCCAAACAGTCGCGTGAAATAGTCAATCGCGTCCTTTTTTGTTCAACTGAAAGCAGTCGCGGAACCCACCTCGCAGACACCTTGTGGAAACCCAACTCGTTGACAATGATGTTTTGAGTTCGTTCATAAGAGATGCCTATAATCTCGGCTATCTCTCTAATTTTTAATCTGCGGTCTCCCATTATTAAATCAAGTATTTTTTAATATTTTCGTCAGTAGTTGACGTCGAAGGCCTTCCAGAGCGGGGTTCATCTTTCACACTCTCTCTACCACGCTTAAATTCTGCTATCCATTTTTTGACGGATGAATATGACAGAGCACAATCGCCTAATGTACTGACCATGTCATCATGGATGGCTTTTGATGATAGCCCCTTCTTATGGAGGTACTTAATGACGGCACGCTGCTCGATTTGCTCCATTCGCGGAAATTATGTCCGATTACTTTGTTAATAAATTTATAAAATCACAACTAATTATCGCACACGTTTCGAACTTCACACAATGAACTAGTCTGAACTGAACTAAATAATGTGGGTAGATTTGATTTTTAGAATTGAATGGATCTGTGTTAGGCCGAGTACTTTTCAATCCACCCTCGTAATAAACTCCGCGCGGGTGAAGTCGTGTATAGGGCGGAGTTAATGTCTTATGGCATTTTCTACCAGTCAACCCTGTTAAATGACGACTTTCGTTTAGTAGTTCTATCAAGTATTTTATTCTTAGATGGATGCAGCTATATTAATAGTATAGTTGTAGCACGAATGGGTCGGCTCGACCGGGGAAGGACCACGCTCTCACAGAATTCCATCGTAAAATAGCAGCTTAACACCGCTGTGTTTCGTATGGTGAGTGTAGGGAACCGGCGACCCTTTTTACAGGAAGAGGCATTCCATATTAGTCCTCGTGGGTGACAACGTATTTGCATCTTGAATCTTTATTGAGGATAGATGTGGATGTCTATGGGTCACAGCAACCACTTACCATCAGGTGGATTGTGTGCTCATTTGTCACCCTATCCTATAAAAAAAACTGTCAACTAGACATTGGAGTATAGAGACAGAGTACAGACGTACCTTCATGCGCAGCCTCTCGGCCAGCTGGCGGAACTTGCCGGGCTCGTGGAAGCGCAGCGGACGGCGCGCGCGCTGCGGCGGCTTGCTGGCCACGCGCTCGTCCAGCCACGAGGCGCCCCCCGCCGTACCCCCCGCGCCCGCCCCAGCGCCCACGCTGCTCGCGCCGCTCGCCAGCTGCGCGCGGAACTCCTCGCGCCTCAGCGCTCGGATGTTCGCCTACAGTCAACCCCTCATTTACTATATATATATATATACACCAACAATCAATAAATGCTTACACATGACCCAGCTGTATACCACCAATAAGGCAAAAACCCTCAATTGGTACCGCAATAGATTGGAGTGTCAACCTAATAAAATGCGCAGAAAATTTATTCTGCAAATCTTACCAGGTCGAAGTCTATTTTCACTACTCAGAATTGTGTTTTGTGACGTTCCTAAACCTAAGTTCAGAAATGGGCTCAAGAACGGATGTAATTATGATGATAATGATGATGAAATGTACCACGTGATGGTATAAACCACACCACTCATAACTATTGTATATTATATTAAAATATTACAGTTTAAATTAACAAGGTCTTCGTTTTGTAAATTCTCATCTTAATTATAGCATCGAAAAAATCAATGATTTTGTCCTTAGGTGATGTAATGCAATTATGGTGATGTGGTGTAATTTAATGCAACATGATAGCCATCATCACATTACTAGGGGTTATTTTCATTAATATATTCTTAGATATTATTTATAATAACCCTTTTTGTATAATATTTATTTAATAAAACATCTAAATTATTGATTAAATTTAATCTTTTTCTGTACATACATATACACGTATTTTGTTGTAAAAACGTATACTTTGCCCCAAAATGAATTATTAAGTGGCGAAGCTTGCGAAGTCACTTATTGATTTCACGATGTCTGTCCGTCTGTCCCACGATTATCTCGAGAACGGTTTTGAATTTTCAAATTCTGTTTTCAGCAATCGATTACTGATCACCCAGGCATCTGAACCCCCTATTTTGAAACTGATTGCTCAACGGCAACCGTTAGAAACCGCTACAAAGCTGATTGCTTCGCCACTTTGTTATGCTGTTAGCTTGCTAGGTTTTTTAATTCTGTAGAGTCTAGTAACTGGCATTACAAGATTATGTTTGTTTTTAGTGTTTAAGATGAACATCTTTATTCTTATCAAAGCTATTCACGTTTTTATATAGAATTTCATAAATACTTATATTGCGATACTAAAGTTAATATTATGTTTATTTTTTTTTATTTTTCTCTTAGATACTTGTTCCAATTTATGTTATAAATCCAAGCGATTACGGGTGTCTTTTTACTTGTAGTGGATATCCACTACCGCGTATCATCCCGTGGGAGTCATGAGAGGCGACAGAGAGAAACTGAAACAGAATATGGCCGGCAGCGTCTTAATAACAACTTAAAATTAAAAACTACGGTTACCAAACCGCCTGTTAACCATGAAAAATATGACAAAATAAAAAATGAGCCAATCTATGGGCTGTAATGGATTGATGTATTCGTGATATACCTTGAGTGTTGGTACAACATGTGTGAGCTGGACCTGCTTCCCGCTGGTGTCCACGGTGCGGCCCTCGCGGTCCAGAATGAGAGGCGCTGGACCTGAGCCCGCAGCCCCCGCGGCCGCCAGGGCTCCACCTACACACACGCACTATATAGCCCACGCGGCCCACAGCTAGACCCACGCCTCACAATTACAAATTAAATTAAATTAAAAACATCCTAATTTCCATAAGAAGGCTGGGTACTACCACCTGCTTGAGATCAAATAATTAATAAAATTAAAACTAAACTGCAAGCATATTTTAAGACACTAAGCTCATTCGACATAGATCAGACAAAAAGTAATAATTAAAAAACTGAAGATACTCTTGGTCTACTATTAGGTATATATACAGGAGGAAAGGCCCATGTTCAGCAGTAGACTTGTGAAGGGCTGCAATGCAATGTGCTTGGATGATGGTGATGAACGGCGTTGTTGTCAAATGTAGATTAAGAAATGTACACTAAGAAACTATCTTGTAATTCTAGGGTGCGGCCTCCTACCGGCGGACGGAGTGTAGGGCGTCCCCCCACTAGATGGAGTGACGACCTGGTACGACATGCAGGAAGTCGATGGATGCAGGTGGCTCAGGACCGTGCTTTGTGGGATTCCTTGGGGGAGGCCTATGTTCAGCAGTGGACTTGTGATGGGCTGTAATGATGATATATATATATATATATAATACATTGAAATCTGGATAACTGGGACCTTAGAGGACCTCACTTAAAGAGGTATTCCACTTACCCAATGTTTCAGATATCCAGGTATAAATAAATATCTGTCTCATTTTCAGAGGATTCTATTAACAAAGGTGAGAATAAAGGTTATTTCAGGTACGATTATTTTAAAAAAATTACGTATTTTGTATAAATAAGTTGTAACATTTATTAACAATAAAAAAGCTATTAAACAAAAATAATTAAGCACTTTTTTATAAACAATACAAAAATGCATACAAAATGCGTCAATCAAACAAAGTTTTGGAAGTATCAGCTGGAAGATGACAAACAATTAGCCAAGAGCGGTAGAATAAGAATTAGTAAACAAAACGGTACACAAAATATAGTCTCAGTGAAAGAGGTTAAATATACTCGTTGTGTTAATTATAGAGGTAATTATGACCAATAAAATCGAAAGAACAAATCCCTAAAATATAGTCTCAGTAAAAGAGGTTAAATATACTCGTTGTCTCAATCATAGATGTAATTATGACGAATAAAATCGAAAGAACTAATACCTAAAACATTGTCTCAGTAAAAGAGGTTAAATACACTCGCTGTCTCAATTATAGAGGTAATTATGACGAATAAAATCGAAAGAACTAATCCCTAAAATATAGTCTCAGTAAAAGAGGTAAAATACACTCGCTGTCTCAATTATAGAGGTAATTATGACGAATAAAATCGAAAGAACTAATCCCTAAAATATAGTCTCAGTAAAAGAGGTAAAATACACTCGCTGTGTCAATTATAGAGGTAATTATGACGATAAAATGGAAAGAACTAATCCCATAGTTCCTGCTATGGAGGTTTCTCTCTTATCCAGGACCCACTTAACCAAGTTTGACTGTACATATATAGCTACTTAATATAAGTCTGTCACCGCTTGTTTATCCTTAAAAATGATTAATAAAAACATTGACAACTTTTTCATTTTGCTCAGTAATAAAAAAGAAACACGAACAAAATGTTTTAGCACCTCTGTAATTTTGTTGGAATTTTGTGTAATATGATCTCAATAGTCGTTCGTCATTCGCAATAAACGTTCTGTGTTTCTATAAAATTCTCAAATATACAAAATGGCAAAAAGCAATAAATGTACATACCCGCCAACTTCCTCTGTATCCTGGCTTGAAGCTCCGCGATCTTCCTCTGCTTCTCCAACTCCTCGTGCGTCAAATGCGCCGCGGCTGTAACCGAAGAAAAAATAAATGTTATTTTATTCATTCCTTATTCATTTTTATATATAAAAATTACGTGTCACATTGTTTGTCCGCGATGAACACCTAAACTACTAAACTGATTTCAATTAAATTTTGCACACTGTGTGCTGTTTGGTCCAACTTGAGGATAGGATAGTTTTTATCCCGATAAGTGACCCTCAAGTTTTTACTGCTAATTTCAGGGGTTTTTTTTTGGAAAGCAAATGGTCGTTCGGAAAGGTCAGACCAACGTCTGCCTGGTCAGCTAGTTATTTTATATGTGGTAGAGCCACACTGCAGCTATATTATAGTGACAGCACGAATGGGTTGACTTGACCGGGGAAAGGACCACACTCAAGGAATACCAGCGTAAAATAGTAAAAATACCAACAGAAACTGAATAGTAGAGAATGATAGCTTAATGCTGCTGTTTTATATGGTGAGTGTAGAGAACTGGAGACCCTTTTTACTGGAAACCATGCATTCCATCTTAGTACTCAGGGGTGACAATGCATCTGCATTTTAATTCTTAATTGAGGATTGATGTAGATGTGTATGGGCCACAGTATCCATTTACCATCAGGTGGACTGTGTGTCCTCGATTGTCACCGTTATTCTATACAACAATTTAAAATTAAAAATGTTGTACAACCCACTTCAATATAAATTATTAAGAATAACTCAAAAACGATTCGTCAGACCTTGGTCAAATTTATATGGGACCACATGAGAAGCACCAGCTTTCAAATTAAAAAAGAATCATCGATATCGGTTCACCCAGAAAAAATATATGAGGTAACTAACACATAAAAGAAGATACAGTCGAATTGAGAACCGCCTCCTTTTTGAAGTCGGTAGAAAATAGGATACCTTACATGCAGGAGTGCCAAACTTGATTTCTTATAACACCATTTACAAAATTAAAGATATGTGAGAGGGACAGACTTAATTTACGCAAAAAGAAGTGATAAAAGGATTCTTAATTAGTCCGACAAGGTTCTGAATTCGCGTACATGATTTTATTCTTCTCTTTTTTTTTGTATATGTTATGCAAAATTAAACAGGGCAAACTTCATTCGTTATATCTTCTAATGTATATAAATTAATCCGTCAAGTTCTGGACTTATACATGAGATAGTCCAAGGTCAACTTTGTAGAACGCTCCAAAAGGTCTCTGAGAGGTCCTTTTTAAGTATGGTAATATTTAGAAAGGACCTCTCAGAACCAAAGAGTATATAATCACCACGTTTAGTCAGAACCATAGTTAAGAGTGCTCAGAACAATTCTTTTTTAAATGTTATTTATAAGAATACCTAATACAACTAAAATTTTATTACAATTAGTTTCGTTACTAAATTACGCTTTTCTAAATTAAGAAAATTTACTTCAAATTATGAGTTTCCGCCTTTACCTATGCGTCGCGTTTACATCACATACTTTAGTGTATTTCCTTCACCGCGTTAGTGTAAGAAGCAACTACAAAATAAAAATAAAAAAGCGAGTACAAAAGAAAGTTTGTTAATAGATTTTTGTATAAAATGTAAGTAATTACACTGTTTTTAAAAGTTTTTTTGCTTATATTTTGCTTCGTAACAATTTTATACACTCTACAAAATTTCCATTTCAAATGGTGTGTCGTTCACGTATCTAAAGTGATAAGTGAACGATATTTAATAGTCAGAATTAACTGAAAATTAAAAATAAAGTATGAGTTATCACTATAAATCATGTAAAAAACACAAATTTTCATATTCCATAAAGTCTAATGTGCGAAAATTACGTTTTATGTTATAATTTCGATATATAGTGAACGTAGTTTTCAAAAATTATGAAAACTACGTTCACTATATATCGAAATTATGGCGACGTAGTTTTCAACAATAATTTAAAATAAAAAAAATTGTACAACCGACCTCAATGTAAATTATTAAGAATAACTCAAAAACTATTGGTCAGACCTTGATCAAATTTATATGGGACCATATGTGAAGCACCAGCTTCAAATAAAAATCGGTTCACACAGAAAGAAGTCATGAGGTTATGAGTTATGAGGTACACATAAAAAACATACAGTCGAATTGAATACCTCCGCCTGTTTGAAGTTGGCTCCTACTGAGTATATAGATATAATTATATTATATATTTCTTTTCTTTATCAAAATCGAGTGTTTCTATGTCCTTGTTTCTTTCTTGATAGTAGTTATTTGATTTTAACATACAGATATTGAATTTTAACATATTGAGAATTGTGACATATAATATATTAATTTTTTTATTTTCAGTAATTGATTGTTTTTGTTATTAATTACTGTTTTAACTATTGAAATTTTTACGCAACTTTTGTTCAATAAATTGTTTGATATTGATGTTTGATGACTTTTTTTACACACCAAAATATTTTTCAAAAAATAAAATTACCACCTCAATCCTTACAGTTTCCTTCCACTGCTGGCCTAGGGCCATGGAAATACCACCTAGATTAAATTTAGTAAAAATGTTCGTCTGTTTGTCCTCCCACATGTTTTTCTAATCACTATTACAACAAACACCATTACAGCCTATAAAAACCCCCGCTGAACATAGGCCTCCACTATATGCCTCATAGAGGGTATATTTGTCATAGTTGCCAGGCTTGGTAAGCGGGTTGGCAACTACAGTTTTTTTTTTATTTTTAGTCGTTATTAGGAAGACGCTGCTTCGCCCTCTGTCGCCTCTAGACATGAGTGTTAAATAACATCACGGTGAAAAAGTTCCAAAATAACGTTGTTCCCTCGCGCCGCCACCGTACTATTTTCTCCGTTACTCCTGTCACTGATTTAACCAAACAAATAGAACTACGCGTGCCTTGGTTACTGTGTAACAAGGTACGTGTACCGTGGAACAGTGGATCAATCACCTCTTACGAAATCCACGGAATGATATGAATATTCATACACCGCCGCCAATTATGACTGACAATCAGTTCAAATAATGCATTACCAAGCATTCTGAATTTAAAAAACAAAAAGAACAGAATGTTTGAGGCTATTTTTATTTTTTTTTTCACCATTCACCATATTACTTACTCTGAACCTTCTCTGCAAATTTAAGCATACATTGCAAAATAGCCCTGTATATATCTAAATACATACATACAAAGAAACATAACCTTCTTTAAGGATGGTCGGATAAGAAAGAAGAAAACACTCACATGGCTTTGAATACAGAACAGGTTTGATAACACTCGGGGGAGGTATAGCATTGTTCTGCTGCATTTGAACCTTCAGTTGTTGTGCGGCCGCTGCGGCCACGTTCACACTGGGCTTCTGCTCACCCTTCATCGCTATTAGTGCTCTCTTGCGTTCTTCTATCTCTTTTTGAGCGTTGGCCATCATTAGCTGAAACAAGAAGTAATGAAGTAAGGATTTTGATAATTGACACGAATAATCCACGACTTTCTCTGCCACCAGTGCGGCGCTACTTACGTATGATATTTGAAAAAATTCATGGCGGTGGATGTTAATTTGTTAGACAAACGTTACAGAAAAAAATTTCGGTAACGCCTGTATCCTGTTTGTGCACACTAGTTACTCCTTTTGCAGTTTAGAAAGTGATTATCTAATCTATTTTTGAATTGGTTCACATTTTGGGCTGAGACTAGATTCTCTCGCAGCTTATTACACTCGGTGACTACATGGTTACAAATGAAGTACTTGCGGGTTGTTGTTTGAAATCATGGTACATAACTTATAGATGGTGGCCCTTGAGGTGAGTGTTTTCATTACGGACTCTACCGGGGCAGGACCGCACTCATACAGAATACCAACGTAAAATGGTAGCTTGACACTGCTGTGATTCGTATGGTGAGTGTAGGGAACCAGAGCCCCTTTTTACTGGAAAGGAGGCATTCCATCTTAGTCGTCATGGGTGACAACGCATCTGCATTATGATTCGGCATCGAGGATAGATGTAGATGTCTATGGGCCACAGCAACCACTTACCATCAGGTGGACTGTGTGCTCGTTTGTCACCCTATCCTATAAAAAAAAGAAATTCTACATTTATATCAATTTCATAAATTTTATCAATTGGATTTTCAACATAACTGTCATCAAATTTATGTAACTGAGCGTGACGGTCACGCGCGTTCAATACTTTTTCTCCATCCCAAAAGTGCGCAAAGTGCCTAAAGAAGTTTTTACTAAAAAAAACCTTTTATAAACAACTGATTTAGTTACTAAGAAATAACTACGAGCAATCTATTATTATCGTAAGAGGCCACAGAGGGAAATTTTTAGTTAGAAGAAGAAGATATTTTTAGATTATTTTTGTTTTGTTACGCTAAAGAAGTATAACTTCCTGCGTGCGTACATAAGTACACACACACACGTTTTTTTTTTCTCTTAATCGGGAATAGTTGTAGAAAAGTTGGGTTTTGGGTCGCTAATTGAAGAAATGAATTATGCATATACATTTAGACAGTGGTAGAGCCACGCGGCAGTTTTTGCTGTCGCACGGATGGGCCGGCTCGAACCGGGGTGGTACCACGATCTCACAGAAAACCAGCGTGAAGTGGAGGTTTACCTCTGCGTTTCGCTTGGTGAGTGCAGGTGGCCGGAGGCCCTTTTTGCTGGGAATGAGGCATTCTATCTTGGCCCTCACGGGTGACAACGCATCTGCATTTTGATTTGTAATAGAGGATAGATGTAGATGTCTATGGGCCGCAGCAGCCACTTACCATCAGGTGGACTGTGCGCTCATTTGTCACCCTGATTCTATGTAAGGCGATATGTGGAAGAAGTGTGGACTTTTGAAAGTGGGACAGATGGCTGGCTAAATTATTCCACCTCTTTGCTGTACGAATTTTGAATGTCTAAGCAAAGTGTTTGAATCAAATTAGTGGTATGTCGACAAAAAAGAGGGTGGAGACAAGCCAAGCATTTGGTGGCTTGATGATGGATTGGCGAAGTAGGAATTTAATCATGCGTACAATTTGTAGCTATATGATAACTGTCACCTTGATCGAAGTCAGGCTTACCTTAATTTTGTCAGCACTGAGCCCCGCCATCTTGGAACCAACAGTTTCACCTTCAGGTAATATTGATGGTACGTCCATACCATTGCCAAGTTTCTTTTCTTTCTCCTCCTTGTCCCTCTCACTTCTCGATTCGCGTTTCTCTTCTCTTGGCTCTTTGTCTTCATGTCGTGATCTGTAATACATAATGAGATGTAAGCAGAAGTAGCTCAGTATATGCTTTTAATTTTTTTTTAATAAACTCTATAAGCTAAGACATCGGCAGTAACACATCCATTGTCAAACCACTGACAACAATGGACAGCTTCCCTCCCCATAATTCCTTCGGGAAGGCATATCTTCAACACTGGAATTGTAAAGGGCTGTATTGAATTAATGAATTCAATTTCATACAACATTAAGAGATTGTATAAGTTGTTAAGACCCATAGGCGTGTTGATTTCGGATAAGTAGCGGCACGAAAGTCTAGCGGTGACCGTTACAGCGCATAAGTCGAAAATAAGGTATCATTAGGTAGTAAGCGGGTCGCAGGGCCGATGTGCGTCGTTCGCACGCGCTGATTGGCTTTCCAGTCGCATTCGTGCAGTTCAATTCGTGCGCGACAGAACCCATGCGCAGCTACCCCCCTCCACGTTTCGTTAAGCGCTAGACTTACGCGCCACGACTTGTAAGAGGCTACAATGTAATACATCAGAAAGATTTCGCAATAATAAAAACTCTTCACTTTTCTATGTTAGAAATTAAAATTTCGTTTTAATCTACTGTCCCCCCACAATCACAAAAAAGGGAGGAGCCATTATTTGCGTCCTCCGATTTATTTTATGTTATGCAATAGCGGGTGGAATATATGCTAAATATCCAGACCGCAAATTAAAAGCACCAACATATGTGCAAGTCATCTTCAAGAAAACTGCTTTCGCCAATCATTATCACTTTCATCATAACAACCTATCAAAAGTCCACTGAACATAGGCCCCTGAACATAGGAAAATAGCGGGTCCTATAAGATTGTCTCATAGCCAATTGCCATTGTTGCCATGCTTGGCAGGCGGGTTGGCTACTGCAGTTTTTTTATTTTCTTGATGTTATTAAGAAGACGCTGCCCATTTCCTGGTTAGTTTCTCCGCGTGGCAAATATGATAGAAAATGCAAATGGATGCAACATCCCTTTGCAGCACCAATGAATCGAGCCAATCAGAAATAACTGGGTCACCGACGATTAGTGCCACTCTGCGTTGTCTGCGATCAAGTGGAAGGGGCTGGCACTGGGATGCCCCGGCCTCTGGGCCTGAGAAGAAACAGTATTCCACGTGAGGCCGAATCTGCGCCTTGTAAAGTTGCAGGCGGTGTGCCGGCATGAAATACTGTCCCGCTCTGCTGAGCACGCCAAGCTTTTTAGAGGCCAATTTGGCCTTCTCTTCCAAGTGACCACGAAACCGCAAATCATTCGATATGACGACTGAACCAACAAGAGGAGTGCCTTGAAACTGAGGAGACGACAAAGGGTTTCTCTTTAGCGGTTAACGCGCAAACTTGTATCATCTGGGGATTAAACTGGACGAAATTTAGTCGCCCCAACCCGAGACTTTGTTCAGCCAAGGCTCGATTTTAGACAAGTTCGTTCCCGTACTCGGCGACGATTTCCACGAAAAATATTGGCATGGCCGGAGTATAGAGCATCACCAGTGCTGTCATACGCATAGCAATAAATGTTGCTGTTTGCAACATATCATTGATATGCAGAAGAAACAATGTTGGTGATAGCACGCAGCCTTCTATGTGGGAAGTCCATGTTCAACAATGGACTTTTGATAGATATCAATTAAAACATAAATATTTAGAAATTAAGTACCTTTTGGTATCTCTATCTTTATCACTGGACTCGTGTTTTCTTTTCTGTGTTTTAGAGCTGGATATTAGTTCCTGTGCTAACGCCAGCACTTTGTCTGCTAATTTGCTTGCCTTCTTTGAGTCTATGTGAGATGAGATCTTGTCTATTATCTTTCGACGGTCATACCTGAAAAACAAATAATCTGAGTCTCTATATTTAAAAATGTTTCGTTTTCTTTTACAAGCCGTATTGCAGTTAATGAAGTGCATGAAAACCTCTATTTTAAAACAAAACACTAACTATTTATGAATTGTTAAAGGATTTATCATTTTAAGTCATCCTAAGTCGCTGAATGAATAGTTGTAATATAAACTGTTTTAACATGCACCTCATATGTATTAAAACAGATTGTTACGGAGAATGAAAGGTTCCTTGAATATAATAATCAAACAAATGCTTCCGATAAACACTGTTATATCAAATTCTTTAATAACTACATCTAGTGTTAGACATAATTACCCAGGACGACAAATGGGTAAAAGAATTAAAGGTGAGTTTTTTGTGCTAAGCCTGGTACATCAATCATCAAAAGTATCCAAGTAAGTATGCTAATATTATATAATTATTATTTATATATAACTCCATTTGTAAAATTGTATTTATACTACTAAGGAACCTTGGGAATGAGGTGATCACTGCCATGCTGTTTCTAAATGTGTTCATGTTGAATAGTACAAAATATTATATTATAATATTTTGTACTTTCAAAGTCTTGCAGGTTCTTCCCAGGACAGAGGTTTTTTCCAAACCTGGCTTACAATAGTAAAAATAAATTACTATCAGTATTCCTGTAATCTAAAATATTGAATAAAAATTATATTCTATTCTCTTAAGGCAAACCCTCCATACTATGGAAGAAACCCAGGTCCAGCAGTGGACTTTGGTAGTCTGATAAAAAAAAGAAAAATTGTCTGAATAATGTGACATCTGTTATAATGCAATAAGATAGTTGACACCATTATTAACAAATTACTACATTATATTACTTAAAGTTGACTAGGTTTAGTATTAAAAAAAAAGTATGGAGAGTAAATTATAAAAATATAAAAAAATTAAAGGAAAATAAGATAGGTAAAGGGTTTTCCAATAGGGATGGGTCAATGTTGACAGGCTATGGCAGCCATGTTGTTTTGGCAACACCTGTCAAATCAATTTATTCTTTAATCTATTTATTATTTAATTACTGATTACAATGACTATATAATATATAGGAATAACGGATCCAAATTATAAAACTTTATTATCTAAAATTGTGCCTGTTAGTGCAAATGTTACATGCTTACGCCCAGTTTATGGCAGAGGCGGTGGCCTTTCAAAGTCGACTCTGCAAAGTTTGATGGACAAAATCGAAACAATTGGTTCGATAAACAATCAGCCAACACCAGTAAAGGAACGCTAGATCGGCCGAGAACATCGCCGTTATCCGTGAAAGTGTGCAAGAAAACCCAAGGTAGTCAATTCCACACCGTGCACAAGAACTCTGCCTAACACAGACTTCAACTTGGCATGTTTTGTGCCAGGAGCTGGGCCTGCATCCATACAAAACCCAACTGCTCAGGAGCTTAAAGTTAATGACCACAAACAACGCCCTTTTTTGTTAACTGGGCTTCATAGCGTTTGGAAAAGGACCCCAATTTTGCCCCAAAAATTATCTTTAGTGATGACATGCATGGCTATGTTAATAAGCAAAATTGCCATATATGAGGCCACAACCAACACACATGAGGTTCACCATATTACAATGCTCCATAAAAAGTTACTGTGTGCTACTGATTTTGGGCCAGCAGCATCAGTGGTCTGTGCTGTTTCGAAAACGACGGTTGTGAGGTCATCACTGTCAACAGCGAGCTATCTGTAGAGCAATCATCTGTATCGATGATAACTAATTTGATGACATGAACAATCTATGATTCCAGCAAGATGGCGCTATGTGCCATACAGCAGATGCCACAATGAAAATATTGTATGATGATGTGGGGGTAGGGTTATCTCTTACAGAAGCGATGTGAATTGGCCATCAACATGCATGCGATTTGACTCCTTCAAACTGTTTTTATGGAGTTTTCTCAAATTGCTGGTCTATGCCAATTAGCCTCAATCAATTGATGTCCTCAAAGTCAACATATCCCATGATATCGCTCCAATTCAGCCAGATTTATGCTGCAGAGTAAACATTTAAACAATGTCATATTCCATACTTAATTGCATTCTGACCTTTCAATAAAAAATAATTTTATTAATAACTCACACCCAGCTTGTTTTATTGCATTTCAACAACTACCCACTCTTATTAGAAAACCCGTTACTTGTATTATCACAATCTTCTTTTGTACTTAATAAACACTTCCCCTCTGACATAAGCAAATAAGAATGGACATTATAGCTTCTCAACATTGTAATAAGGACTTCAAAAATTTTTGGAAATCCACAAATAAACTAAACCCGCGGCCTGGCCTTCCTGTGAGCATTGATAACACTAGTGAGAAAAAAGAGATTGTTAAAAATTTTAGGCAATATTTTAAAGTTGACTCTCCCGTAGAACCCATAAATGGTAAAACCTATACGGAGGTGTCTCCTGACACAAATCCGGTTCGCTTCACAGCTAAACAAGTGGGTGTAGTGATTATATACATGAAAAGGGGGGAGATCTCCTGGGTATGATGATCTCAGTATTGAGCATTTACATCATGCTGGTGACCATCTTCCTAGGGTGTTGGGTTTGTTCTTTTCACTGTGCCTACGACATAGATATCTAACAAATAATTTAATGAGGACTATTGTTGTTCCAATTCTCAAAAATAAAATTGGTGACATCTCTTTTTTTTTATAGGATAAGAGGGACAAACGAGCACACAGTCCACCTGATGGTAAGTGGCTGCTGCGGCCCATAGACATTTACATCTATCCTCTATTACAAATCAAAATGCAGATGCGTTGTCACCCGTGAGGGCCAAGATGGAATGCCTCATTCCCAGCAAAAAGGGCCTCCAGCCACCTGCACTCACCAAGCGAAACGCAGAGGTAAACCTCTACTTCACGCTGGTTTTCTGTGAGGTCGTGGTACCACCCCGGTTCGAGCCGGCCCATCCGTGCGACAGCAAAAACTGCCGCGTGGCTCTACCACTGTGTAAATGTATATGCATAATTCATTTCTTCAATTAGCGACCCAAAACCCAACTTTTCGCAAATGCAATTTGGTTATTTGATTCGCCTATGCGCAACGCTTAGCGGACGATGTTGATTTTCTATGTGGTCACGATAACTTCCGAAAAAATTGACATATCGAGAGACCGGGTTTTTTTTATTAGCTTCAGAATTACATCAACTGGTTCCCTATTTCATATCAATAGCCTAGTACGCTTAGTTTGTTAATAAAATATTTTAAACTTTTATAAGTTTTTTGCTATAAAAATTTAAATGCACTTTCATATTTTTAGCCCATGATAGACAAAGGCCAAATGTACCATTCAGCCTATATCGATTTTATACTTTGCGTATTAGATTTATTTTGGTAATTTTTTTTAATCAAGATTAAATGAAACGCTCATGAGGATTTGGATCACTTTCGGATTTTCCAAACTATTTGACAACTTACATAAAGACATGGTTATATGATCATCTATGGGAAGCCATAACATTTTTCCGTCATTTCCCATTGCCGCTTCTGACGACACCCACGTGAAGAAATGGGTACACTCTTATACCGCCAACACATTACGCCATAATTTTATCTTTTCAATAGAGATTCGCCTTTAAAAATATTTGACTTTAAAGTTTAAATTTATAAATGAAAATGTGCGATCATTATTTGTTGCTTTTAAAACACATTCTACTAGCTAGCTATGTGGTGAATAAGTATATTAATATGCATAATTCGCATCGCATTTTTATAAGCATAACAATATAAATAAGTAAATAGAAGCTACAAAGTATATTTACCATACGATCACTCACCATATGAAACAGCAGTTTCATACTGCTGTGTTTCGTATGGTGAGTGTAAAGAACCGGAGAACCTTTTTACTGGAAAAGAGGCATTCCATCTTAGTCACAATGCATCTGCTATTTGATTCGCAGGTGACTGTGTGCTCGTTTGTCACGACGTCCTATAAAAAAAATTTTTGGTCGCGACTTTAGGATTAAACGTTTAATAAAGCTATCATTGACGAATTTAATTTAATCCGAAGGGTCCAATATATGTTTGTACTAGAACTAAATGGAGTGGCGATCAGGTAAGGGATGCAGAAAGTCATTGGATGCAAAAGGCTCAGGAGCATGATTTATGGCATTCCTTTGGGGAGGTTTATGTTTAACAGTGATTCAGATGGACTGTAATGATGATAAAACTATTTTCAAAGTGCTGTTAACAGTTCATCAAAATTTAAATATTGTGTACTTATCATCTTTTTACCACCATGTAATCTCTTTTTGAATGTTATATTAATTCTATTAACTTATCATTTAAAAACAAACGAGTTATTAATTAATTAAACGCAAGCAACTTTAAAAGCCAAATTTTCGACACAATAAGGTCACCGAAATACAAGTTTACATCACATTAATATGTTTAATTTTATTATGAACAGTTTTAATTATCACACAGAAAATGCGAAGCAATGCTAGAACGATTTCGAAATATTTAATTTTTAAAACACAAAGCATCACAAAATCAGGTAAATATCTCGGACATAACCAACTATAGACCTAAATCGTTGGCTACAATGTTAGCAAAGGTGCTGGACAGTCTACTTGATGGGTATTTAAGAAAACATTTGCAGCTACACGATGCCCAATTCGGTTTCCGGTCTGGCTTTTCAACAGAGAGTGCCATTTTGGCCCACAAGCGAACCGTCAAGTACTATACGGACAGAAAAACACCTGTTTATGCTTGTTTTCTAGACCTGTCAAAAGCCTTCGATATGGTGTCCTATGAAATATTGTGGAGTAAGTTGAAAAAAAAAGCGAGATGCCTGTTGAACTTATCGCGATGTTTGAGTATTGGTACAGCTTTTTTTTTATAGGATAAGGGTGACAAACGAGCACACAGTCCACCTGATGGTAAGTGACTGCTGCGGCCCATAGACATCTACATCTATCCTCTATTACAAATCAAAATGCAGATGCGT